GAGATAGTGAGTGACAGAGACAGAGATTGTTGAGGAGAGCGAGATAGCTGGGCCAAGCGAATCTGTGGCTGTGTCCTGAGCAAAGCATACGCCGTGTGGTACGTCTAAAGAAAAGTATCTCACAGATACATTCAGCTTTATCTGTATCTGCATCTGTATCTGTCGCTAGTAAAGCAAAACTCTTGCGGCAGTCAGCCAGAGCCTCACAGTCACATCCACACTCACATGTCCACACTCACGTCCACACTCGCGTCCCGTTTCTGCAGCGCTGTGTTGGACTCATCTTCACTTGTTTTATTTTTTCATCTGTCTCGCAAAATGTTTCAATTTATCTATTTTTAGTCGCAAGTTTCTTTTTGTTTATTAGTTTTTGTGCCTTTTGGCCGAAGTCTGCGTATTAGTGTAGTATATAGTCGATATATATACATGTATATATGTATGTGTCTATATGTATTTGTGTAGCAGTGGGTCGCACTCGATTCGACTGATGTTTCGCCCCTCACAGCCCCTCGCCCCGCCCCCTGCTCCGATTGAACGTCACAACTGTGGAATGCTTTGGCTCTGGCTCTTCCACTGGATACGCACACATTGTTTTAGCTTGTCTTTCATTTGTGATTTGCACCCCCAATTGTTATTGCTGTAAAGCTCAAGGTATATCTGAATACATACTCTCTACGTGCCACATACCTATATATGTATAAACATATACTTATGTATGTATGCCTTATACATATGCAGATATCTCAAGCATTCGATCAGAGCGCACAGAGCGCTAAGGTCAAAACATTTTGAGGCAAAGGTGTCATAATATATACATACACATGTTTGTATATAATGCATATATGTATAAATACACCCATACGTATGACTATATACATCAGCTACTTTACGTAAGCTGGATCCGTACAGATCTATTAGATCAGCCAAAATGATTGAATTTAAGCGAAATATTTAAAAAACAAACAAGACAGAATGTTGCAGTCGGGCGTTGCTGACTGCACTATACTCGTTCATTCATTTTAGGTAAATCTCCACATGGAGTTTTCAGCAACTTAAGTGATCAATTTGGGAGCTCTAACTACCAAAGGTACCAAAAAGCATATATACCTCATTTTTAGACGGACGGACCGCAAGGGGCACATTGCAGAAAACCAATATGCCCGTTTCATTTCATGAGCGAGCATTAATATAGAAATGTTGTACAATCTGTCATATATTCATAAAGAGATAAACGTGTATAATAGATGTTTCTGATACACACTACATAGATATCAGCTTCGCTATTTGCGATTTGTCTAGGATCAAAGACAGAATCATAATTGAATTATCTTAAATTTAAATTTTTATTATTTTTATTAAGAAGATGATTTCATTCACAATTTTATTAAATGATAGAAATATTTAAACTGTTCTACCTTAATTCTTTATTTCAAACTCCAAGCACATAAACTGCATATTTTCCATAGTAAATATATGTATATATACAAATCTATATATATATATATGATTTTATATACTCGTGTATACCCATCATAAACAATTATAAAGAATATGTTTTGGCAATTTAACGCCCCAATAACCGCTTCGGTTAAATACAATACAAATCTATCTAACATATCTGGCAAACAAGGCCATAATCCGAATGAGCTGTACAAATGTTTTTTTGATACGCCGATTTATATAGTTACAGTTGCATTTGCCTACGAATATTTGGCTAGAGAACCGCCCCGGCACCTGGCGGGCGACCTTATCGATACACTTGGAGAAAACGGGCTATTAAGAATAAAAATATGATATAATAAATAATAATAAATAAGAAAAATAACATAAAATGTAACTGACAAAATTAAGTACATGCCAATAAATAATTATTAAGCAATTAAAATTGTGTTTAAAATAAATATTAATAATTCAAAACAAACGTTTTCAATATAATTATTCATAGAGGTAATGAGAAATTTTTACGATTCTTAAAATAAATAATATTAAAAAAATGTCTCATTTAATTTTTTCATCGGCTTCAAAATATTTGATAGTAATAGAAAAACGGATAATGTTTATGCTTATTTGACTCGCTTTTCCCTCTGTGTATTACACTTTACAACATGGTATAAATCAATATTAGCTTATCATGACCAACTGTGAGAACTTATGCAGCAGACCTAACAAAGATATTGCGGATATATCAGGGTCTACAACCATTCTAGACGAGATATTTCCATTCAATTGTTTTTCGCTTTTGCGTGCGTTCGATCATGGGCTACTGGCTAGAGCTGCGCGCCTGGCTCCTGCGCGATCCTGCAAAGCTCATACGCTATCTCGTTCTCTTCATCTGCAGCATCATTGTGATCGTGCAGCTATACGAATGCTTCTCAAAACTATCCGATCCGCCTATATCCACGCATTCGTATTACAATGTGAATCAGACGATTGAAATGCCTGCCGTAACGATATGTCGTGAACCGCCCTACAGAGAGGAAGTCTTGTCAGTGAGTTTTATGAAGGACATTTAATAAAACGAAGGATTTTTCGGAAACTCTAGTGAGATATTATCAGTGCAATGGATAGTGCTATTCTTGGTTATTTTCGATAATTTAAAAAAAAAATAATAATAATAATAATAAAATTAACATTTGTGTAACAGTTCGAAATACTTTCAACCTATTACTGTAGATATGCGGTATCTCTACATAAGGATAAGTACACTAGTACACAAAATTAATTTGAAAATTCTCTAATTTTATTTATATACTATATATAAAAATAATATTATAATAACAGAATTCGGTTCGAGACATACTATGCCCGTTACTAATATTATTTACGATTATTACGAGCCTACGTCTAACATCAAAATTTGGTTTATAACACAAATATATTCTTGGAAATCTGATATAGTCTTTATCTGTTTATGCGTCACTTTCACTTACATCGTAAATATCTAGGTATCTACTTTTTACATACTGGCAGGCAGACAGCTGAAACTATTTTCATTTTTCATGGATGTTAAAGGTCGTAAAGCTGACAAATAATATCCTATTTATCCTTTTTATTATTTAAAGATATTGACAAAACTAGAGTCATCTTAAAAATATAATTATAATGAATTTCTTAAATAAAAAAAAAAAACTGAAAAGTAGTAGTAAAAAAGTATTATACCCAGATTTTCTGTTGCGTGGGTATAAAGATTATAAAGGTAAATCATTGCCTAATTGAGCTTAATATACGTTTGTTCACATTCAGGAACTATCGCGCGGTTACTGTCCACATCCAAAATTCGCCACCTGTTGGATGGATTATCCCTTTGGCGAAATATCGTTTGAGGATTTCTTTAACAATGCCACATTCAGCCAGGAGGAGACATTCTATTCGTATGGGCTCAACGGAGAGAGGTCTAGTAAGTATGATAGACAAATATCATCCATACATAGACATACCAAACTGTTGCCTCTACAGATGTCGCCATCGATAGCAGCGTTCACTTCTATATGGGTCGCTGTTATACGGTGCGTCCACTCATGGACATGAAGAGGGTATCCAAGTCGGTCGGCTATTCCCTAACGCTAGAGCACAATATAGTTACATCGGTGAGCGATGTGGACCTGGCATCTGGTGCGGGCTGGCATATCTTTCTGCACGATAAGCGTGAAAATTTTACGGGTAGGAATTGTATTTGAATTAACTACATACAGGTTAATACAGTTGTCACTCGCTATAGAGATCAACATGAAGGGCTCGGGTCGAGTCGAATATGTCTTTGCGGCCATCAATGAGCAGATCGAGATAAAGCTGCAAAGTCAATATTTTTCGAACGTGGAAACACACAAGGATACCTGTTCAAGAAAAGAGGGCTACAGTGATCTAAAGGTATGATATAGTGAGATACCCTCTAAGTACAGGTGAAGTATATACCCACGACGATCATTTCAGTGTGGCGAGATATGCATCTGGCAGGACCTATCGGACGAGTCGGACTGTTCGGGTCCTTGGATGCATGATATGAACTATGAGCCCTGCAACGATTCCGACTCCATGCGTAATCTGATCAAGAACTACAAAGCGTAAGGCCCATTCTGTCCATCGATTCCATTTCATACTGTTATTCTGCCCATATTCTGCTCAGGGTATACGAAAGCGGCGATGACTACGAGTGCAACTGCATGTCACCCTGCGAGTCGCGCATCTTTACAACCTATATACAGAGCAGGAAAACCTTTTACCAACCCGAGCCACGGACCCTACTCTACATTTACTACACGACCAAGCTGATATCGGTAATTGTTTTAGTATTGCTTATAATCAATAAGAAATGCAGTGACTTCAGTTATCTAATTCAAATATCAATTAGAATATGCATATACATTTCTAATTAGACCCACTGCATGATAAACAATAGTTCATACACCGAACTCAATTATGATTTATTGTTGCAATGACCTTTTCATATTATCGATAGAAATTTCGATTTGGTCTGTCGGCTTGTTTGATATAAGCTGGGAGCTTTACGAACTTAGGGTTCGGCATATATTGCACATTCATATATAGTTTATACATAGCATTAAGAAGATTCTCCTCTACTTCACTATAGTTTGTAAATACTTTTCCGACTCTTCGCTATGTTTCAGCAGATGATAGAGGAGCGTCCCAGCTATGATACAACCCAGTTTATAGCGGATGTCGGCGGCTCTTTGGGCTTTCTGCTCGGCCTCTCAGTTCTAGGCATCATTGGCATATTGGAGCATGTAAGTATGAGTAAGAATATTTAAATATTCCAATCCAAACCTCCTTTCCATTCCAGTTAACTTTGTTCTTCTGTGGCGATTGCATACGGCGACTACAACTGAAAAATGAGGAGAAAAATCGCTCCAAGAGCCCAGAGGATGGGGAGTCCCAAACGAGTGTCGAGACACTGGACATCAATGATGTGTACACTGTAGAAAAAGCGAAACTGGGCAAATACTGAGCCGTTGGTCAAGTTTTCTCTAAATAAATCTCTTATATTTATGCACAAAAACTACAAACTAGGGGGCTACATTTAAATGGAATTATTTTCTGTGGTGTATATACAAAATCCTTTCCACATTAGAGCAGCGAGGAGAGGGTTAACAGCAGGGCGCCTAGACTCAGTGTCAGAGCAGCTGCAGCGGATTTTGAGCCCTCATCCGTTGCTGTCTTTAGCTTGATATTCGTCCTCAGCACCTCGCCCAGCTTGCCAACGAGATCTGGCAGGGATTTGGTCGCCTCGCAGGCTGTATGCTCCAGAGCATCGTTTACATTCGCCATGTAAATGCGGAAATTGATGCTGCCTGGATAGAGCTCATCGTAGATAAAGTTCTGCATTTGATTGACCAGCACCCAGAGGCGTCGCTCATCATCGACCTTGACATCACTGGGAAAGACAAAACTATTGTTGTTGCTATAGACACGGTCCTGTACGTTGTAGCCCTTCGAGGTTTGCCAGCAGCCCAGAGAGTTCTGATTGGGCAGCGTGTAGAACAGAACACCGGTCTCTGCATCCAGGAACTGAGCTCCTGCCTGCGCGTCTACGCCACGATTGCCCAGGATCTTGAAGTCCCTGTAAATAGCACCAGAGGTGGCCAACGTTTTGTTCCTTAGCACAGAGGTCTTCACCGAGAACTCCATGGTGGAGCTAAGTGGATGGAAGTACAGAGTGGAGTAACCATCACTCTGGGGCTTGGACAGAGCTAGTCCATAAAGTCCATCGTCCCATTGAAACTCGATGTCATTGATGCTAAAGTTGCCCGCCAGCGGATCGGGATGGAAGAAATGGTGCTGCACTCGCCACGATTCCTGGTCCCGCCACGAATAGACCACCAGACCAGGACTGCCCAGGTCAGCAGCATACGCATAGGTATTATCACAGTCCGCATCCTCGATAGCCAAATTGGCAAAGAAGGAATTCTGCTTCGTCTGACTCATGGGCAGGATGTGACGACGCAGCAGATCATCGTTATGCAGATCGTAGATCAACAGTTGCGCCGGACCATACAGCTTCGTCTGCTCCAGCACGCCCGCGATGCGAGAGTCCAACACCCAAAGGCGCCCACAACGATCCGCCTTGACTCTAAAAGGTGAGACGAGCTCCGGATCCGCATCGCTCAAGCTATGAGACACCCAGCTGGGAAAAGGTCGCAGAGCAGGCATTTTACTAGAGGTATCTGAAAGGACAGAAAGGGAAGGTGAATTAGAATTTTAGATGCTCATTTAATGATGTATTTAAAATATACAAATATTTAATATATACAAATTAAAGGGGGGGTGGAACTTGAATGCTTATAAGGAGATAAAGAAATAAAGATATGCGTGGGGAGAAATAAAGATATAAGGAAGGAGAGATTGGTGTATTCACCTAATATCATTATGTATGTATGTATATATATTAATTTCAATTATTATAAATGGAAAAGGTATGAGACCGCTCTCAAATTCATTGGCTCTTCAAATTATGCTTATAAGTCGTTACAGCCAAGTTGAATGATCTACAAATCGCTTTGACTAATTTTGCATTAATGCTAATTGCGATCCGTGTGGTTCAATGTCTGAGATGCTGATTCATAGGACAAGTTTGTCAGCTGCGCTGCGTTTATATACAAATTCTATATATGGAACGTATTTGTTGTACAACTTGAAATACCCTATATGCAAATAACGGTCTATATAAGGCGTATATGCACTTCAGCTTAGGCCAAACAGAAACTTCAATTTAATTAAAGATAGACTAAATAAGGTATTCTGGAAGCCAAAATTGCTAGGTTTTTATCAAATGCAAAGAGAAGAAACCTTGAGATTGATTGAGGAATGGGTTATAAAAAACTAATTCATGTGATATTTTGTTATTAGGAATTATGCGTTTATTTTTCATTAAATAAGAAATGTAGCTTTCAAGCAGTGAAGAGAACATAGAATTTCCTGCTTTTATTTACAATAAACAAACTTTTTTTCCGATCCACCATTTCTATAGAAACTCTAGAATAGACTATACAGATAGGTGGTACAGACAGAAAGGTATGTATAAAGATAGGTGGGTATATCTGCTTTATCTGCTCTAAGATGCCGAATGCTACGCATTATAAATTTCTTAAATTCAAATAAATATTTTCTCACATTCGGAATCGAGGTATGTGAATTTACCTTTTCAATTCGGTCTGATCTATAGAATATAAATATATATATACGTAGATATAGATATAGATAGATACACATACTCTTCAAATTTACGTTGCTCCAAGAGAATAAATGTTTCCTATCAATGTATGTGTCATGCACACATATACATATATATGTATATATCATATATACATATACATGTATATTTCATATATACAGCTACGATCTATGTAGTCTTCCATATTCGTTTTCATTTGTTTATTTACTCAATTTATTATACTGTTGTTGTTGTTTATTTGCTTTTGTTTCTGCTTTTCTTATTTTTGTTTTCTCTGTTGCTATCGCTTCTGCCGTTGTTTGTTGTGGTTTTACAGCATTTTAATTACGTAAGCGGCGCGAATATCCCAGAACTCTCAACAGGCAATTAATGGCAACAAATGCGAGTGCAGGAAAACTAAATTGTCTAGAACGAGTATTGCATAGATACGATAGCGTGACACGAACACCATTTTGATATGCAAATGATACAATAAACTGAACTAGGCCAAGTTCATGGCCAAAAACTCTCCAGCGTATATTCATTAATGAAATTTTCATATAAAACGAAGTCAGAGAGACCTATAAGAGATCTATAAGGGAGGTAAGCAATGATTGAGCAGTAAAACTAGAATTTAATATCACTTAGACTTTGAAAGATATAGAATTGTTCTGATTTGCTATAAGCTCAATGTATTAGTTTATTTCTCTAGCTCGAATTTACTCCAAATTTAATGTGTCTAGCTATAGAGAGGGTTTGAGACTTGCATAGGGAGAATTTAAGTACAAATATATACATATTCATATTCGAGTCACGATTATCATCATCTGTATAACTAATAATATCTGTTATTATAGTTTTGTTTGCATTGAAATATAAAACATACAAGCACAACTTATTAAGTTTACTTTTATATCGTATCTCTAGCTCTCATAGCAAGCAACAACAACATTTACATTATGTAGATAGTTCTACTACCACCATCTCCCATCTCTAACAAATCAACTATGCAAATTTAGACAACCAGTCGACCAGCTCCCACGCGTAAAGACAATGCTTTAGCTGGGATTTCAGTGCAGAACAATTCTCTCGCATAAAGAAAACCGCAATTTGATGTAAGTAGAAGTCGGTGTAGTGGAGGGGAGCGAAGTCTTTCCTCTGGCAGTACTTACCATTAAGATCAAGGTAGGCCAATGAGGCGGGCACACCGTTTCGCCATCTGGGCAGCGTTACGAACAATCGCTGGCGATAGACCTCCAATCCGAAGGGGATTACATTAGCCGGCTTGAAGGCCCCGCGCTCTATAGCCGACCACCTCTGATCGGGGGAATCGTATTGGAAATCCATTTCCCGCCACTCGTAGGCCACACGTAGATTATCTTTAGCCACAGCCACGCCCGCGCACAAGAGTACGCCCACAGCAATGCAGGCGGCGTTCATATTGAAAGCTGCAAAAAATATTACAATAATGGTTTAATTCAAATCAATGTAAAGACTTCCGACCTTCGCATAGCCATAAATAAAGCCAACGAGTTCGAGATGAATTGCTCTTGACAAAGACTCGAGTTAAGTGGAGCCCCACAGAGAACGAAAAAGACTGAAATTGAACTCGATGTCGAGCCCGAATTCGAATTCGAATTCGTTGCTAAAGCCGCGCCTCCACTATGCGAATAGTTAATTTGAAAGTTGTCTTTCTGGCTTGGCCAACAATTTTCAGAGACTCTTAGACACAAGTTAAGTTTGGCATATTGCAACATGTTTGATAGCTTGTCTCTTGGCATACCCTGTATGGAGGATATAAGCGTGAAAGTGAAGTAATTGACAGACATAATTAAGCTTTAAATAATAAATTAGAAACAAATTTATATGAAGAAAAATTAAAATAAAACTATTACTCTTACTATCTTATTTTATTCATTTCATTTATTCACTTATTATTTTAAAAGTATTAACAAAGTAACATTTTTGCAAAAATTTTTGTTTATGAATTTAAGTTGAGATCGTTAACTTTTCGAACACCTCTCGCTTTTGTATATTTATGCATGTAACTAGTTTATGAATCATTATAAAATCAACTGCTGCTTAGCAAGCGAGTAAAATCAAGCTGTGTTAATTGCCCGGTCTTTGACTGGAACCCAATACATATTACAGACTGTCGAAGATTTTAATTGAAATCTTATTTCTACACATATGTATGTATGTATATAGTAATCAAATACTTAAATAAACATATACATATATAAACACATCAAATCAATATAGCATTAAAATTTGGTATTTATTATTAGTTTTATATTAGCCACGTATACAATGAAGATAGATCTGTATATTTTTAGTATATTCAAAATCATCTGATTTAACAGCTTTTTTAAAATGTCATGTCTTAGATTATCAAATTGTCTGATGGAAACAAGCTACTTTCTAAATAATTAGTTCTGCTGATGAGTTTCAAGTTCAAATCTCTTAAAGATCTGATCCAACCAGATCTGAATCCAACAATTATTTACTGTACCCTTGTTGCCTCACATGAGTTAAGTAAAAACTTAACAAGCTCGTTTATGTGAAATAATTTAGGCAGATCAGAGCTCAAGTGCCAAAGTACTTATATTTTGAACCTACTCCATGCTTAGTTGTAGTTTTTTTTGTCTTCCCTGTAGCATTTAGAGTCAAGAAATGACATTTTAATTATAATTTGATGATTTTTTATATCCTCAAGAAAGAAATATTGAGGCGACTCCGCGTTTAGACAGTTTTAAAGGCTTAAGTGATCGTTCTACATAGATCGCACAGGTAAAACTAATGTATTATAGCTCTTCTCATACGCTCAAATGATATATAGCTTAGATAACTTAAATTCGTGTCATAAACAAATACAAAAAAATCACTCAATAGTTGATGTGATGAGCGCCGCGTCGTCTGTCTGTCCAGCGCTCGAGTCATGGTCGCTTTATAGCTATATGACTGTACTTGTGGGCAATGAAATATTTATTTTTGTTTCTCATGAGCTGCGCGTTCTGTTGAGCTGTCTTGTTTTTTTTTCTATAATTTATTACAAGAATTTTTTCATTGTTTTTTTTTTTTTTTTTTTTTTTGCGAGCTTTGTTTTATGGCCTGTTCGCTTTTTGGGACTTTTGGCTACGGAACACTTGAGATACTCGTTTAGAGGCTTAGAAAATTTGAAGTTTTTGAGCAAATTTCTGCACTCAGGCGAAGTCTTTTAAAGACTTAAGTAATATTTCTTAATTTATAGAAATAATTAAGTTTTAGCTGCATTTTTGGCCTGGTATAGTTGGTAATTAATTATTTAGTTCATTATCTAATTTTAGCTGTTAGTTCATGCACCAGCGACAATTGAAAGTAAAGGCTTAAGCAGGGGGGCGTGGCATAGTTATGCAAGCCCCTTTTGTCGCACATTCGCCAGCCAAGTTTGTGTCTTAAGTCTTTTGTTTAGTTGGCTATTTTTCGATTTTATGTTGCCGATGCCGAAAGTAAGCCAAGTGTTATTTAACTAGTTTTGCTGTTTGGACTAATGCAGTAATTTATGCACGCACACACACAAACACACACCTTTAAGTCTATCGCACAACCAGAAACACAACCGACAGCCACGAAGCTCACAGCGAAACTGAAAGCCAAACGAGACAACATCCACAATTGAAGCCGACTAATGCTGGAGCTGTGATTGAAGCTGGCTGTGCGCTTCGTCTTTGGAATTCCAGTGAACTTGAATTAGTCAGACAGACCATCAAAATATTACGTATAGCCCAACGCAGACTTAGGCCTTCCCTCAATACCTCAAGCAAATTAACAGCTCAAACAATTTCAATTAGCCAGCCCACATGGCTCAGCTGATTACGTTTTCTTGGCAGACAAGCCCCTGAAATAAATCCCACATATAGGCCTATATAAATTACTGATATATCTCTATCATATAATTATCAAAGCAACTTTCCATTCATCGGGAATTGCCCATGAGTCAAGTCGGTTTTTGGGGTTTTCTGATTCTTGGACTTGTCATAATGAGAGTTATTGCGGTTAGCTGAGCTATTCTAGAAACAATTATGCTCGGTTGCATTGAAAATTATAATGATGATGATTATATAATTATTATATACAACGTATAACGTTATAGTGTCTCTCTAAATGCTTTTTGCTTTTCAGCATTTGCATCATTATTATACATACCAATTTCTAATTTCCATAATTTTCATTATCAGCCTACTTACCATTAATATCAAAGTTTTCATTGAAAACCGTGTCAAATTATCGATTTTTATCATAAACTTATCGATAAACTGAAATGTACATCGATTTGGATGGGTACCAACTTCTGTGTTCTATTTCCTTCTATATGTTTTATTTCCTTCTGTAACATATACCCAAATCCATATACCTAGTTATTTATGCTTTAATGTAGTAAAGAAATCAGGATATACAAAAATTGATCCAAACAAATAAATCCAAATAAAAACACACATTTAAATATTAATATAT